TTCTGTAAGGGCTTCGTAGGGCTTGGTTTGAAATGTACAGAAGCGGGTCCTTGATAATCCGCTACGACTTGCTTCTACAAGAGCCTCATAAGGCTTCATGTAAAAGCTAGGACTTCGGAACAGGTTTACGGGTCGGAGTTCGGAGGATCCCTCGTGGTGTCTGAAACAGAAGACAATGCAGCGAAATCGAAACGGATTAGGGTTTAGGAATTAGGGCTAGTATGGTCACAGCTTTTTTTCAATCTCTCAAGCTCCGGCAAAGCCGAAAACACACACACACACACACGCACGCACATTCAGCTTAAACAAATGCAAACTCTGTAGCAACCGGAAAAGGTCGGCATCGAAACCACGTTAGGGTTTAGGGTGTAGGGTATAAATTAGTATAAAAGACCGAAGGCATCATAGCCCCAAACCAGGGAAAAACGCGATAATCCTTGCATTGTATGTAGTCGGGATGCTTATAGCAAGGGATCCTTGACTACACCCTGAGCCTACGATTTCAACCCGAAAACTGTAAATCCCAAACACTACCAAGGGATCCTTTACCCAAACCTTCAACCCGACACCCTAAAGCCCTGAAACCCCTAAACCCCGAAGCCCTTACACCCTAAATCCACGAGATCTGACCGTAAATTCCCCAAGCCCTGCATCCCTAAGCCTGGATTCCTGTCAAGTGATCCTTCACCCTACATAAACCCTAAACCCTGAACCCCGAAACCCCTAAACCCAAAACCATGAACCCTAAAACCCTAAACCCCTAAACCCTAAACCCAAAACCCCTAAACCCTAAACCCTGAACCCCTAAACCCCTAAACCCTACACCCTAAACCCTAAAGACCTAAACCCGAAGCCCTACTGCGCTGCCGGGAGGCGCGCTTTCCCAAATCTCCGGTGGGCCGCGGGCGCAAGCGCTCAGGGCCTTGGTCTCTGGGCTTTAGGGGTTTAGGGGTTTAGGGTTTAGGGGTTTAGGGTTTAGGGGTTAGGGTTTAGGGGTTTAGGGTTTTAGGGTTTATAGGGTTTAGGGGTTCAGTGTTTGGGGGTTTAGGCTTTTAGGTTTAGGGTTTGGGGTTTCTGATGCGCTAGCCCGAAGGCTCCTGAAGGTGACCCATATGGGTTCCTGTACAGGGGAGTTCAGGGTTCCTTGAAGGGTTCCGAAATACCTACATAGTAAAACGTAGGGTTTCTATACAAGGAATTAGTACTATGCTTTGGGTAGCCCCCCATATATAGGTATTTAGGACCCCCCAGATTAAGCCAAAAACCCCAAGGAACATAGGGTTTCTATACGCAGGGCTCCATGAAGGATATATGAGGGGCTTTGTAATTATAGAGCATAATGAAAACCCCTAAACCACCAAAGATTTGTTGAGGATTCCTGCTGTGGGAGTTGATAACAGGCTTAAGCGGTTCATCAGGAGAGTACAACAAGCTCTCAGCTCCAATGTTTGGGGCCTTTATAAGTGGAATAGGGTTCCTTCAAGGGTTCCTTCAAAGGGTTTTAGCGTTTAGGGATAAGCGCTTTAAGGTCTGGGGCCTTTATGATTAGAATAGGGTTCCTGTAAAGGGTGACTACGAAGTCTATTGAACCCTGCTCGCCATCCGACTGCAAACCCTGAGGCTCGCCAGCTTTTACAGGATTTCTGAATCGAAGTGTTGAAGAGCATTTAGGAGCTGCAGGGGTTTATAGGGCAGAGCTTTACACGACCGTAGGGTTTCGCGCTGGAGGCTTTTCCAAGGTGTCATCTTTTTCAGTTGGACCCAGAAACTCTTCCCTTACGGTTGCTCTCTTAGCTAAAACCAGCAACCATGAACCCCTTGACTACAAGCCCTGAAGCCCTAAACCCTTACCCTGAACCCTGGACCTAAACCCTGCAGCTCTAAATCCCAATCCAGCACAAGAGCGCAAATACCGTCATGGAACCTTTGAGCATGTCTTTGGAAGTCTCCGCGTATCTTATGGAACATGTCTTGCAATGTGCACATCATTGCTGTCGAACCTTGACTTTAGAAACAGTATCTCTCTTCGTCAGGATTGTAGTAAGGATCCGACTGTTCAAGTCCTTAAAGATAAGGCGTTGATCTTCCAGGGATCCCCATTAAGCCCCCCTCTGTAATAGAGAACACTTAGACTGCTACAAACTACTCAGCGGTTTGGGGTTAGGGTTTATAGGGTTTCAGATCGAGCAGCAATCCGAAGGCCCCCAAAACAGGCCTTAACAAGCTATGGACGTTGAAGCAGGGTGGGCAAAACATTAGCCAAAACTCTTCAGCGAAAAGGCTCTCCAGTCAAACAGGCACCCTGAACGTTAAAACTCCAAAGCCCTGGAACCCTAAACCCCGAAACCCTAACCCTAACCCCCCCCCCCCGCCCCAATCCCTAAATCCTACACCCCTAAATCCTGAACCCCAAAACTCAGACATAAAAAGGTTGGCTTCCGGGAATGGAGTGCTATTACTGACTATTTTCTCCCAACCCCCGAAATCATGGGAGGAGTGTAGAGTTGCGTCTTTGCCCAGTAGCTGGTCTTAAGCGCTTCTTCGTTTCGCGGGTGTAGGGTTTGGGGTTTAGGGGTTCGGGCTTTTTCAAAGCTCAGCAAAAACTCTCGAACCTGGAACTCATAGGACCCGCACATGCGAAAGCCGCAGAAAAAAAAGCTCGCAACCGAAGAACTCCTGATGTAGGGGCCTTAAAAGAATTGCCAATACTATCTTGGTGCATCCTTGTTATACTTACATATTGTATAATCTACCCTAAAACCCGATTCTAACTATTGAGGCCCCTATATTAAATCCTAAACCCTGGCACTCCTGTGTTTGCCCTCGCAGTCTCCAATATCCGCTGGACAAGGCTGGTGTCGAAGCCAGGGCGCGAAAGCTTGAGGAAGATCCTTCGTTGTCTTGTGGGTTACTATACCTGTAGCCGAAATGACCGACCTTTTCAGGGTTCCTGATTATGGCTTCTATATATTATTATATAGCTCCTTAAAACGGTAGGTCTTTTAAACCACAGGCAAAGGTTACTATAACGGTTCTAGAGTTAGCACATGGTAGGATAACTGCGCCTACCTTTTTGGCTTGTTCTTCAGACTGGGGGGTGAGGGGGGGCGTGCCGGGGGGGGGGGTGGGGGAGGTAATGACCTTCTTATTGGCGCTTTCATATTGAATGACAACGATCTTCCAAAAATCGCTGTGAAATCTGAATCGGATCAACTTCGTCAGATGTGCCTATCCCAGTTAACTGCATCGGATGAACTTGCTCAGACTTCAAATATTCATCCAGCCTTGTGGGTATGTATGTATATATATATATGTATATGTACATACACATTTATATGAATATGTATATATATATATACACATTATCGACACAGTGTGCAAACTTAGACCATGACATGTCGAGTCAAATCACACATTTTCATGTCCCATCATTTTATGTCCAGTTGTGTCCTGTCATGTCAACTCATTTCCTGTCAATTTCTATCCATGTCATGTCACACGACGGGTTGCTTCCATGGGTTCTCAATCCTCTGTTAAGCCCTGATTCGTGTGACAGGCGTGGTACTTTCGGTATGTTCCCCAGTGCTGCTTTCAATCTACTACTTCCCGATTGAGAGCCTCACCAGGCCAACGCGCGACTAGCGTGTCCAAAACTCGATTTTTAAGCGTTTCCAAACTGTAGACGAAAAAGCAGGCCGTCAACAAATACAAGAGGATGCAGGTTTCCGGTGGCAGGCACGGTGGAATCGAAGTTGACGCGTTCTTCCAAAGGACCAATTTTCCGCACCATGAGGTAGATTTAGGGCTTCGAGTTTAGGGTGTATAGCATTAAAAGGAATTGGGATTTCGGACGTCTGTTTATGGGGTGTAGGGTTTAGATGGCTTGGGGTGCATAGGACCCCATAGAATCATAGAAAGAAAACCATAACCGTTCTAAGCCGTCTAAGCACGCCTACACTGAAATGCTGAGCGGTGCTGCCTCGTCCTTATCATTCTTTGCAAACCCCTATGCCAACCCTTAAGGCCGCGTAAACCGCTAAACTCTGAAATCCTAAACCTGTCAGAGAGAGCTAGGAAGCGTATCCAACGGTCCGATCGTAGATCCGTTGATGTATGCGTGCTGATACCTTCGCTGGGGCTTTGCTTGGGGTTTAGGATTCGGGGTTCGGTCTTCGGCTGCCTTCGTGTTGATGAAAAGGTTGGTGGCCTAGGGTTCATGGCCAAGGTGAGGTTTCTGCGAATCTCGTTATCGGATTTCCGAGAGTTTAGCATGGTTTTTGAGGTTTTGATAGGAGCATGTACAAGTGACAAGGTTCCCTTAACAAGAGGCCATATCAATCAGGTTGCACGAGGAGGCACCGAAGGCTTCAGGGATATTGACAGGAAGCCTAGGGTAGAGCTCATGGTTTAGGGTGGGATGTGAGTTCCTTATGTCTTGGACTGGTCCTTGTGAACCTTCGAAGGAGTTTGGTGACACCCCCAAAATCCCCATGGAACCCTACATAGAAACGAGGCCTATAGCAACCCGTTCAGCAACCAGTTCTTACCCTACAGCCAAGGAACTCGCCCCGCAAAAGCCTATGGACACACACCTTTCAGATCCCCATGAAACCCATATGAAGGCGGCAGAATCCTATATATAGATATACGGTACAAATCCTCTTTACGCCTTGATAAGAGGACAGCAGCTTACAATAATCAAATCCTGAATCTCTTCACATGTGCCGATATTCTATGCAGAACCGAACCAAATCAAAACAGAGTCCCGAGTACCTACATGGACCCAATAATAGTAGCAGTTCCTATTACTTTGGGCGCAGAAAGCTTTTCTACTATAATATACTTTAACCAACACACACTTTGTTGGTAGGTTCTTATTATAAACCCGAATATGGGATTTATAGGGACCCTACAAGAAAGTCGGTTTCTGGTGGGTCAAGGTAGGTACTCAGGGATCTTTTGGGTTAGCACAGAAAGCTTTTTAAGCCTTGACAAGAGGCCAAGGATCTCCATGCAAAAGCCTCGCGTCCGTGCGGGACAGCTCCAGGCGCTGGTCGGATCGCGCAATGGCGGAAATAAGAAAACCCATGTCCTTTGGCTTATAGGGTTCAGGGTTTAGGGTTTAGGGTTCAGGATTTTGGGCTGAGGGAGTCTGGGGTTTAGGATTTAGGGACTTAGGGCGATTATGGGCCTAGGGATATGATTAGAGACTTAGGGCGTTGCGGGTCTAGGGATTGGGGACTTAGGGCCCTCGGGGTTTTGCTCATGTGGTACAATAGAATACAACAACTAAGCAACCCTGAGGGATAAGCTTAGTATTGGCAACCATTTAGGCTTCTAGGTCAGATCGGTCAGGCATCAAACAGTCTCTGCGAAGTATTGACCTCTGCGCTGTTCACAAAGTCCTCGAGACCAAGTTCGACGAACTCTCCCTTCTTGGGATCTGCCGTGCGGCACTTCACCTAGGCACTGGGTTAACCAAATTGCAATGGTGGTTCGTTTAGGATTCAGCAGCAAGGAATCAACAATACCTGTAAGACAGAACAGCAAATGTGCCTAGTTGCCGAGTTCTGTAATTACGCCGGACAACAGGCTAACATGAATAACACCGGTGAGTAGGAACACCTGAAACAGGCTCATGGTCTCCGCTGCAGCTATTAAGTAGACCATGCCAGCATGCAGTCCTGAACCTTCAACCCTGAATGCATTACAAGCGAACCACCCCCAAAGACCAGAAACCTCACTCTACAGCCCCGTGACTGTCACTGCAGGCCAGACTTTCAGTGTGGCGTTCAGATCACTCCTGGGCGGCTCTTGGAAGCCCATGGAACAACATTATAGCTTTCGCTGGGGGGGGGGAAGGTTTGGGATTTAGGATTTACGGTTTAGGGTTTAGGTTTAGGCGATTGTAGGGTGGGCTTAGGGATCTTTTCAGACTAAAGCTACGATCTTCTGCTGGAGCTCAACTGCACTAAGTTGGATTCAAGAAAAAACGGCCCAGACTCGGCTCATCTCGGGAGAAGAAGTTGATGTTCACATCCTGCTCCAAATGCCGGAGGATCACCTGGAGCTTTCGGTCGCAAGGTGTAGGTTCGGGGCTTAAGGATTTCGGTGTCTAGGGGTTTAGGGTTTAGGGCTTCAAGGATTTGGGTCTAGCAGTATAAGGGCCTGAAAAATTGGACCAAGGCTTTGGGCCTAAGCCCTACTAAGGGACCACAACCAACAGCATCCACAAGCTAGTCGATAAGTATTACAGCAAGCCGAATCACCGGAACCTTGTGGTTGAGGCTTAGCTGGGCCGTTGCTGGGCTCTTGTTAAGGAGTTTAGGTTAAGCTACCATCGAAAGGGGGCTTCCAAAGCCTCATCAGGGCTCTACCATGACTCCAGCGCCCCGCATTTCATAGAGTTTGAGAAATTAACCACAATAGGGAACACCTAAACCCTAAACCCTAACGCATATCATGTATGCTTCTGGAGTTTCGAGTTTTGTTACACAACGAGCTGGAACCAAAAGAGGCCCAAACCCAAACTGAAAAGCCTTACCCGAGATGTACCCTAAACCCTCAACCCTGCAAAGCCCCACTTTGGAAACACTCTGCTCACCTGCAAGCCAGAGAGGTCCGTGGCCCAAAGCATGGACTGCACGTGGTTGTACCTCTGGCCGACAAAAGCCGGAGTTGCTGCCTGGTTCGACATCGTTATCCCGACAAGCTTCACCTTCTCAGTCACACGGGAAGTGAAGAAACGAGACCAGTGAACCCGTGAAGTCATAGCCTCTTCCGGCAGAAAGGGGCCACCGATGCCGCAGTTCAAGAAAACGAAGCGATCGTAGCGCTTCAGATTCTCCGCGCCGATATACCGCAAGCCTATCCGGTATGCCTCTCAGGGTGAGCTTGAATGGTGCAGCTTCAGGGTGCTTTAATTTGATGACTATAGGTTCCTGGTGTGAGATTGCACAAAAAAGGGGCCGATTATAATAAGGGGTTTCGACATGCCCGCTCCTCGAAGTCGTAGCAGTTGGGGCCGCGACGTAGCCAGGTCACCTTTCCACCGATGTCCACGCCCGGCTGAAACGCAGCAATATTCACCGAACGGCCAACGACGACTAAGATCTCCACGAGGGCGTCTGGACAAGTGGCATACTTGAGAAAGTATCGGAAGTTCCGCATGTACATGGCGACCTTGGCCTTCCTGGTGTCAACCGTCACAGGCCCCGAGTAGATCACGAGCGTCCTAGCATCCACTCCAGGCAAACAAAAAAGTAACACCACGGGGCTTCATGTGGACTAGGGATTCTGGGGTTTTGGGGAGTCCTGTTGATCCCCTTGATTAGGGACATTAATTAAGTCGCTCAGGCCTGAATATTCCACGCTGGACTCTGCGCCATAGAAGCCCTGAGCTGCCTTCATACAAAAGCCCCGACAGCTTTCGCCCTTGCCTTTCCAGGCCACACATATCTCTTGGACCACATACACTCAGCCTGTCTCCTAGTCATTGGGGCCCTATGAAATACAAGACTTCCCTAGAAGCCCTTGTACAGAACTCCAACGAAAAGAATGCAGACGCTCTTCCAAAGCCCTTAACCGCAAACCCCAGATCATCGTAACTAAAACCTGTAAACCCTAAAACCGTTAAATCCTGCAGCCCAGTAAACCCTGGATCCTAGAAGCCCTAAAAACTTAAGCTTCGAAATTGATGGAACCGCCATTTCGAAACCCTATTTTTATCAATCCCTCATGGAAGCCCTTAGCAAACCCACTCGCTCCGGTGTGCGCCCACGCGCCGGGCCCGCCCCAAGCGCTGCTCCCAGAGCAGCTGTAAAGTTGGATCTTCCAGTTGCAACTCCTGAAGATCAAGGGACTAAAGGAGAGACCCTTAAAGGGACCCTTGGGGTGAAAGGAGACTATAGAAGGGGTATATAGGGTTATAGGGTGTAAGGATTAGGGGTCCCTTCTAGGGGTTCCTCCTATTGTCCCTCAAGAGGCGCGGCTGAGGCCTTGTAGGGCTCATGAGGTTTAGGGTTTGTAGAATTGTGGCTTGGGGCTGACAGGATTTCGGGTTTGGGGTTTGATGAGGCTCATAGGGTTTAGGGCTTAGGGCTTTTAGGGCTTAGGGCTTATAGGGATCAGACGGCTGAAACCGCTTTCAAACATAGATACCTGTTGGTTTAAGGACCCAACAATAAGGTCTTTACAGGGTTGCTAGTAGGTGTGATATAGGCCCTAAACCCTACACCCTACACCCTAGACCGTGTTCTGCAGGGCTTACAGTTACTAAGGCTTATAGAGGCTTAGAGATCTAGCACTTAGAGGTTGAGACAAGAACATGTACTCCATGCGCACCACATGCAAAAACAGCTGAGAGGTATGCTGCAAAATGTATTTTGTCCGCCCCCTTTCCCGTAAACGAAGGCCTTGATCTATGGCATATATTATATGAACTTGTAAGATTCAGTGATCAGGGTTGAGTGTAAAGCACCTGCACACACACACACACACAGCTTGAGCCCCGGAGTGCACATGCTAAGCTTTCGGGTTTAGCCAGAACCCAAGCCTGAAAGATATCATTCTTGGCCTGCGTGCCGGAAGTTGAAAACTCCTCTCCGAAATCACAAAAAACCCCGGACTCCCAAAATGCAAGGTTTCAGCTCAACCCGAAGACCAAGGATAGTGGAACCTATAATTTGATGAGCCGCAAACCCTAAAGAAGTATACTTACAGAACCCTGAAGGATTCGAGGGGCCTTCCGCAAGTGAGCCATGGGAGCCCAACAGGTCGGCAGATGGGGAGGTGACCACGGATACCTCCAGGCATTTTGGCAGTCGAATGGGGTTAGGAGAGCTTTTGTTCGGGCCTTGACAGAGTTGTATACACGGGCTTGATAGGGCTCTACAGGGTTCGAGGGTTTAGTGGGGCGCGATTTTTTTTTTATGCTGGGGTTTAGGGTTTAGGCTTTAGGTCTCAGATTCAAAGGTTTAGAGTTTAGGGTTTAGGTCTCAGATTCAACTGTTTAGGGTTTATTGGGTTAGGGGTCCGTAACGTTTCAGGTTGAGGCCTTTAAATTAGAAGAGCTTAGGATCCGCGGCTGATATGCGGTAAACAGTTTGGTGATGGTGTGCAATGCAAGAGCCGGGATAAGAGACCACTGCTTGTTCTTGGGGGGCTCTCCCTTTGTGGAGCGATTGGTTGTCTGGACTTCAGACCGTTTTGGGGTTGCCTCTACGGCTGGGGTTGGAGTTCAGGGATGCCTTTACGATGCGGGGTTCAGGGCCCTGTAGCTTGTAAGGTAACGATCTTACCCTAAACCCTAACCCAAAACTCAAAACCCCAAACCCAAACCCAAAATCCTAACCTAAACCCAAAAACCCTACCCTACTAAATCCTAAACCAAGACCTCTAAACCCCTAAAGCCCTCAACCCAAATCCCTAAACCGGCCATGGAGTTGGGCTTAGGCTTCGGAGTGCCACTTGGAGTTTGGAGGTTCAGGAGTTGGACTTTGGGGTTTGAGCCTTGAGGGCTTTAGAGGCGTGGGGTTAAGGGTTTAGGGGTTTAGGGCTTAGGGGTTTAGGGTTTAGGGGTTTAGGGTTTAGGGGTTTAGGGTTTATAGGGTTTAGGGTTTAGGGACTTTAGAGGTGGGAGTTCACGCTTTTGGTTTAGCTTTCCAGGGTGTTCGTGGGAACCGGACGTCATTCCTCATGAGTGACTGGCCGGGCTTTTTGTACTTGCGGCAGAAGCCGGGTCGCTTGACATGAAATTGGAATCAAGGCAGGCTCCTTGTTGTCTCAATCTTCCCGGTAGCGACATGGTACGTTCATTATCTTTGGTCGTCTGCGCCATCATCAGTATGGTGACCGTGGCACCATGCCCACCACTTATCACTACCTCCACTATCAAACACAACATCTTCCCTATCAGCCCTACCATCACCTTCAAGGCACCAACAGCAGCTACATGAGCAGCAGCAGCAGCAGCAGCAGCAGCATCTAACGATCGAACGTGTGAGCTCGTTCTAGGACAACCTTATTGCCCAAGTTCCTCTCAGAAATAAAGGAGTGCGCTCTCAGATTCGCTCTTCGGTAAGCGCCCTAGAGAAGTCTCAAGGTGTGACATAACATAGCACTACCAACATGTTCAAACGTAAGCCCGAACCCTACGCCCTACACTAAGCCCTGCCGTAAATCCTATCTTCACTGCGGGTTCGACCTTTCGAAGCTCCCAGAAACCAAAATCGACAGAAAACCAACACAAGCTGTAAGGAACTTGGTTTGGGGCCATTTTTTAAGCCAACATGTTACGCCGTAATCCCTTGACTTAACCCTGAACCCTAAAACCATAAACCGTACTCCCAAACCTGGCTAAGGCCAGGCGCCTGACAACGGGGCAGCCGTGTTCGCAGATCAAACCTGGCGTCTGAGACACTGCTCAGGATGAGGATTGGGTTTAGGGCTTATAGGGCTTAGGGCTTAGGGCATAGGGTTTAGGGCTTAGGGCTTAGAGTCTAGGGTTTATAGGGCTTAGGGCTGAGAGNNGTTTATAGGGCTCAGGGCTTTTAGGGGCTGAGGGCTTGAAGTGTGTGGACTCTCCGCGCAGCGGCTAAAATCTATGCTGAGAACCCCGTAGAGACCATGCTGCTGCTATTTTACGGGATCGTATGGACCGTGATTAGCCCTCAACCCCCCACCCCCGG